TTATACCAAGCTTTGACAAATTATGCGCCAAGTTGCTCACTGAAGTACACAATGTTCAACAATTCTCTCATCAATTAGGAGTTGAACCTGATAAGAAAGTATTATATGTAGCTTATTCATCAAGCAATGCTTATGGAAGAAGAATAAGGACCAATTACCAGCGTAGCAAAGGGCAAATGAGAGGAGAATCATCGACAAGAGGTCAAGGTAGAGGCAGAGGTTATTCTTCAAGAGGCCGAAGGAGAAATCAATTTTATTGTTATGGATGTGGTTGACCTGGATATATATCAAGAAACTATCCAGACAAACAGAATTCACCTGACAAGCAATTGAACATTGCTAAAAACAAGGAAGAAGTGGATGAGTTAGAAGCCTCTCTAGCTAAAATCACTAAGTCACTTGATAATCAGAACTTGGTTTCTAGACTCTAGTGTATCTGTACATATGACCAAAGAGAGAAATATCTTACAGGATATTAAATTAGGATTATGGAAAGAATCAAATTATTGATGCAGGAGGAGGACACAATGTTCAAGGTGTTAGATCCACCTTGGTAAAAATTGTTGATGGAAAAATAAAACTTTCAAATGTTCTGTATGTGCCATCTATTACTAAGTATCTTATTTCAGTAGAGGCACTTACTGATGATGGAGTTATGGTGTTTTTCAAAAACAGGAGCTGGCTCTTGAGCAATATGAAAAAAAGATCAATATTAGCCACTGGAGTTCAGGAAAAAGGCAATGGCTTGTACAAATTTCAGTTTCAACATGAAGTGAACACAATAGCATTAGACAATAAAGCCAAACTTTGGCACAAATAATTTGGTCATTTATCTTTTAGAGGTTTGACCCACTTATCAAAGTCAAATAGAATCAAGGGATTACCTCTTCTTTATTTGTATCAAGAAGTATGTAAAGATTGCCTTGCATGTAAACTAACTCTTAAAAGGTTTTTCAAGGAATTCTTAAATTAATTTATTGTGACCTAATAAGTCCAATGCCACATGCTTCATTAGGAGGGACAAAATATATACTGATCTTTATTGATGATTATTCAAGAAAGACATGGATATACTTTCCAACTAAAAAGTCAAAAACTTTTTAGAAATTGAGAATTTTCAAAGAAAAGTTCAAAATTGAAAGCAAGAAAGCATCCAAATATTATGCATTGATAGATGAGGAAAATTTTTATCAATAGAATTTTTGGAATTTTAGAAAAAAATTGAATATCTAGACAATTTATACAAGCAAAGACACCACAACACAATGGAATTACTCAAAGAAGAAATAGGGCTATAATTGAAAAAAATTGTGTACCATAATGCATGTCAATAAAGTCTTAAGCTGTTTGTGGCTAGAGGCAGTTAATGGAGCAGTGTATCTTATCAACCATGGTCCAACAAAAGCCAATGCTGGAATCACACCTAAAAATGATAATAGAGCAAAATTAGAAGAGGTAGAAATTAACTGATAATTTGAGGAACATCAAGTTTGACAAAGAGAAAGAACACCTTTTGTCATGTTGAGGAACTTTTATACTTATGTCATAGAAATAACTAATAATCCTATAAATTATGATGAAGTAATTAAAAACAAAGGTTGGATTGATACTATGCAATAAGAAAAAAAATCTATTATTAAAACAATACTTATAAATATGTAATATTGCCTAATAGAAAAGAAGCCATAAGTTCTAAATCAATCTACCAAACTAAAAAGGATTCAAAAGAAAACATTCAAAAATTGAAGGCTAGAATTGTTGCACGAAGGTTTGAATAAGTCTTTAGAATAGATTTTTATGACACTTTTGCACCAATAGTTTATTGAGCCACTATTTATATAGTATTAGCTTTAGTTGGAAGCAAAAATTTAAAAATTTACAAATTAGATGTCAAAACAATATTCTAAAATGGAGTTTTGATAGAAGTTTACATACATGTACCTTAAGAATTTGAAAGAAAGAATAATAGTAAAAAAGTTTTTAAAGTAAATAAAATGCTATATAGACTTAAGCAAAAGCTAAAAGCTTGGTATCCTAGAATTGATGAGTAATTCAAAGACTTAAAATTAACTAAAATCCAAGTAGATTCAAACATATGTCTTCACATACATGATAGAAAATATGTTGTAGTATTGCTCTATGTAGATGATTTATTGATTATAAGTAATGAGAAAGTTGAAATTGAAAGAATTAAAATTTATCTTATAAAGTCTTTTGAGATATCAAATCTTAGACTAACTTAGCTTTATTTAAGAGCTAAAATTTGACAAACAAAAGATGGGTGCTTGCTCTATCATAAGAATTATTTGAAACAACTATTGAAGTAATTTTGAATAGAATCTTGTGCTCCAATCAAAACTCTTATGGATCTTGGATTAGTTCTAAAAAAAAATATGCAAATTCTATAATGTAACAAAAGGCTCTATCAAGAAATAATTAGATGTTTGCTTTAGGTAACAAACATCAAGTTTGATATAAGCTTTGCAATTAATAATCTAGTTAGATTTTGATTTGAATCTGAGGAGCCACACTTGAAAGCAGCCAAACATATCCTAAAATACTTAAAGGGCTCTTTGGATTATAGAAAATTCTATTTGAAGTAGAAAAAAGACATAAAAGATTCTCTACATACTTTTGTAGATGCTAATTTTGCTAGAAATATAAATACCAAAAAATCTACTTCAAGTATTCTACACAAATTTGGAAGAGCACTTATTGATTGGACAAGAAAATTGCAACCTGCTATTATTTTATCTACTATTGAAGCAAAATATCATGTTCTTACAAGTTCTGTAATTTGATATAGAAAGTTTTTGAGCAAATTTTTGGCTAAGATTAGATTGATGTGGCAAGTTGGAATACATAGATTGCTCAGAATAGCTTTAAGCATCTTTTCATTGGACCTTCTAGTTTCATTACAAGAGTTTTTGTAAATTTGAGTTAAATAAAACTTGCCATTGTTCATTATAATATAATCCAAAACTCTAATCTTTTATTCATTTGTAAATCTTTTAATCTCGCTCTAAAAGCTCAATTTTTCCTAAGCTTTTTTCTGTCTCTTGTTCTAACAAATTTGTCTCAACTCTTATCCCTCTACTAAGAAAATAGATGTCTTTGAGTACATCTTACAAAATGGAGCTTGATCTACTTAAGGAGCATTGCTCACTTTCTTCCTCACTGCCGCTCTGATACCATCTTAGTGCAACACAGAACTCAAATCTTTTATTCATTCGCAAATCTCTTTATACAAGGCTTGTACAACTCAGGGTAATAACTGGACATCAATCTCATCCTAACCGGGTATCAGACAGAGAGTTGAGCACACATAATCCCCAACAGGTCTTACCTTTAGCAAGGAGAATTATCTTTTGGTTATGTACCTCCGGATGCTCTAGTTCGAGCTTCTTGCCATTGTACCAACTTATGTCAATGTTTATGTGGTTTTTAAGTTATTATTTTTGTATAGAATTCAATCCAATTTTATTGTTTTTAACATAATGTCTTTTTACTTTGTCTCATTTATATAGCAAGACTTTCCATGAGATATCCAATCTAGTGGATGAGATTGTTGCCATAAGTAATCTTCTAAAATCTCAAGCAAAACTTGTTAGTAGTTTATTAAAAAGTGGTGTTTCTACAATTATAAGCAATACTTCGGTGACTGATACAAAGGAAAACAATATCATGAACATACGTATTTACTTCAATAACTACCTATATGATTAGGTAGAAATAGATAAAAGTAAATTAATTTCATAATATCTTTTAGAGAAGTTTTTAAAAAACTTCATAGACACAATGTTGACTTTACATGTATTCCTATTTTTTCTTATTTATTTTATTCTTACAACGATTGGTAGATAATTATTTTTTTTATGCACTTTGTCATGAGGTGTATTTGTAGTTTTTACAAATAAATAGTATAAAGCCATGAAAAAATCAAAATTTGAACCTTTTATGGCATTAAGATTTAGTTTAATTAAATATTTTATAAATTTTTATAAAATATTTTATACTATTTTTTTTAACAATCTTAATATCAAATATGCAAGATATTTTGGTATAATCTGATTACTAATAAATATTATGTTTATTGTTTATTAATAACTACAAAGAGTACAAAATGTAAATCATATATTTTCATAAAATATCTTTAAGAAAATGTTAAATAGACCCAAGTTTTTACTAAATCAACCTAACCATGATGAAGAATGTGATAATCATGATGACTGTGGTTGATATTCATTGCTTCTGGGTCCAATTGTGGAAAAATAAATCATAAGTTTATTTTATTTTTATGATAGTTAGAATAGATGAATCAATTTCATAAAAGACTGAGGTATTTTAACATTCTTCTGTCTTTAATGCAACCAAGGATTAGATAAATTCCCATAAAGAAATAAAGAAATGAATTCTGAAATGAACAGTTTGTAGTTTATTCTTATTAAAGTAAGGAAGGACGTAACAGAAGTTTTTGAGCGAATTTTTTGAACAGAAATTTCAATAATGGAATAAGCGACTATATCGCGTCCATTTTGAGCTCAACAAACTGGGACACTTCCGAAGTGGATACTATTGACTGCAACGACTTCCATTCAGCAATTCTATATTTTCATTCTACCTACTTCGTTGGCAATTGAGTTGTTATATGCAAAGTAAGAAGATTTTCTATCAATTGCCGGCTATAGCAGTGGGCCAATTCCTTTTTCTAGCTCATATTGTCCTCCCTTTCTAGACATTTCAAATCTGGTCTGGCGCTGGTTATTTGAACGCTCATTCTGGACTTTCTGCTATTGAGCAGTAGCAAAATCGATTTAGAAGGGAACTCGGAAGGTTCTTCATAACTGCGTTTGCAAGGGTATGTCTGACCAGTGTTGTAGAAAGCCTGAAATGTACTTGATGTGGGACATATGCCCAAGGTTTGTCACTCCGAGAGACTACATCGGTGGACAGGGGTTTCGTTCAAAAATACTCCGCATTGCAAGTTCTGACGCAGTATGGAGATACCAATATGCTTTTCAGTTGGTTGCAGATACCAACAATGTATATACCGAAATGAGGTGCATAATTACACTTCAAGTTTGTTCTAAGAGGACCGGGGCATGTGCCGTCGTAATGCCACAAGAGCTACACACGGTTGCACTGGCTCCAGTGTCGTCGCAAAACTGACCACTCGCTCGCTCGCTCTCTCTCTCTCTCTGGATGACAGTATGGCTGGTCAGCGAATGCTGAGCACGTCATGGTGTCACTAAACGCTACACTGAATTCGTGAACATGTACATCGCGCTCCATTGTCAATGCTGATGCCTCTACAAACCCCCTTGAGGTGAGGGGACGTCCTCGTCTTCGGGGAACCGAAGGTGCTTCCCCCTTGGTGTTGGCAGCCCTCTCAGACGCAGCACTGCAAACACAACGACCCGCGTCCAGTTCAGATCATGCCAGTCAATTTCACCTCAATCACCATGCCACACAACTCCAGACAAAGTGAAGAAACCTGTCTCGTACCGTCAACCTCCTCGATGTCAACCTCGTCGTCGCTGTTGTAATTGAAACGGATGTGTCGCCCCTTGTGCTCGGGAAGGCCCTCGGCGACCTTGATGCGACTAACCCCGTAACAGATATCGTCACAATCCACCTGTTCGTACTCCTCATCGTCATACTCCTCACGTTCTTCGCAATCATCACCCTCGTAGTAGTCGAAGCTCTCTTCAGCTTCTTTCACCTTCACAAATTCCCTTCGCTGCCACTTGAAGTCGGCAGTTTCAGGGGTCGTCGGATGAACGGTTGAAGGCGCAGGAGATGCAGCCAAGTGCTGGCTCACGCCGGGTGAACTCACGTTAACCACCACGGAGCAGTCCGAGTCAGATGCATCATCCCCAGCTTCTTCGGTCACGTCGTCAACATCCTGTCCTACCCAGGCTGATGACAGCCTCTCTGACACGGAGGCAACTCCATTTTGGGGAGAAGAGTCGATGACCTCGGCCTGCTCACCACACCACCACCCGTAAACACCAGCGTGCGGGGCACCAGAAGATCGCCACCCACGAATGCAGAGCACATACACGGACCTAGCTCATTCATGCACACATCTCTGCTCACACGAGCCCTCCATAATGAAATCCTAGAACCATGGCCCGACGTGCTCACCTGCTCGGATGCTGTAGAGAGCTCCGCGGCAGCCTCCGCCTCCTGGATGCCCACATGTGCCGACACGGTCGAAACGCGGAACTGGGGTGTGTCAGCTTGGGGACTCTGACTCGAGACGCCATTGGATGGAGTCTGAATCATTGCAAGATTGCTGTGTACCAGAGAACGAAGCAAATCCTCGCCGCGCATCACTGGCGTTTCTGCCTGCTCCAGTGGACGCATCTTGCCACACGGGGTGCTCTCTCCCTTCTTCGAGGCAGCTGAGGCCTTCTTGCCCGACTTCACGGGAACCAGCCCAGCGACGGGAGTTGCGTTCGTCTTGTCTGCCAGCACCTTGCGCGTGCTATTCTTTCCAGTGCCCTTCCCCGCTGCCATAACATTGGCCATCAGAGCTGCAAACCAGTGCGACAGCTCACCACATGTCAACAGGAGGAACCCAGTCCCACCAACAAACCAGACGAACAATGCGCTTCAGACAAGAGGCTACACAAAACCGATCTCAAGGCCCGCAAGCCCCAGGGCATTGCTGCGTCAAGGGAGCCCCATGACTCAACTGCCCTGTCCTCTTCAGAACCTCGACTCTACCACACACCCTCACCGACCTCAACGTCCGGGCCACTCATACAATCTCATCAGAAGCAGGGATTCTCGCAAGACCTTGCTTGATGGGAGACACGGGGAGAGGACTGGCACGGCGGCTCCGGGTGCTCATCCTCCTGCCCTCCATTGTCAGATCAGGTGATACCCCGGCACCCAGCAAAACCTAATTCCGAAGTCGAACGGCAAATCCACGCCAGCAACACACAAGGTCTCGCACCCCAACAGCTCAGTGCGGGAGCGATAGAAGCTCAATCACAGCGAGAGGGACCTGGATGGCGGAGTAAGCAAAGGGAGGAGAAGGAACGCTCTGCAGCCAGGAAATGATCACGGGATGCGGGGCTGAAGATGCTGTGCTACACAGCGACATCCGGTGGACATTGCTTTGTAGTGTCTCACATTTTCCATTTGAAAGTTTGAAATCCTGGCAGGGAGCCGTTGCCGCAGGATGGAACGAGAATGATCGCATTCCATTTGGATGACCGTTGCCTGCGTTGCTTTGTGTTGCAGTGCCGCCCTTGCCATGTCAGCCACTCCTGTCCGAACCGGAATGCCCCCCGTGGACTTGCCAGCTGTCGCCGCCTTGCAAACAAGCATCGAGCAGGCCCTGCTGGCACCGGATACATGAACGCTGCGATGGACAGAAAATGCCCCTACTTTTTCCCGTCCAGCAATCTTCATCCATTCCCACATGCCCCCCTCTGTAGCACCCACCAGGCCCAGGCGGGAATGCTGACTCCTCCACGTCAGCTTTGCTATCCTTTCGGTTTTGTTGGGGAGGGGGGGCGGCCTTGTCCTCGATTCCATGGGGCCCTGCTTCGTTCGCTCCTTTGCTCCTTCGCAAGCTTATGGATATTGTTTTGCAAATTTATTTAGTTGTGCACAAGAAATTGGTTACAATTAAACTTCAAGTAATTAGAAAATTAATTTCTATGAACCAAGAAGTGAAACTATGCTGTAAAAGAAAAATAGACCTAAGGTATACTCTATAGTGTAACTAGACTTTTTTCAAGCATGGGCAATACAATGACAAAAGATGATTACAATTAATTAGACAAACTGGTCTGAATCAATGTGAGGAATAGTTAATTGACAGGGGTTGATATAAGAAATTCTTTTTATGTTTAAAAAACTCAACGTCTTAAGTCAATCAAACTTCTTCTTCTTCTTCTTTCAATTTTTTAAAATTAAAGATGAAGTTAAAAGTTTAAATATAATCTTATTATATCATTCTTCTTCAACTTTTTCAAGAATGCACAATCGAAATAGTTGACTGTGATCTGAAGATCAAATTAATCACAAAACAAAAGCTTCTTAACAATAGTCATGATAAATTTGGTTGCCACTAGAGGATTGAGGATTATTACTTGTTGGTTTCAAACTTCTCTACATCAAATGTTCTTGCCTCATTTTCCTATTACTCTAAAGATTGATGTACATGACATATATATTTTGCTGCACTACTATTTGAGAAAGTAGTCAAAATAAAATTTTTTTGGAGCATGCCTGCCTTGTACATAATTGTGTGTGAGGTGTACCAATTCATAAAGAAACAACCCCACTTTCTACCATCAAAAAGAGAATAATCATATCATCATGAAAACCTCAATGAATAAGTATATTGTCTAAGTTTATGTGTAACATTGCTCTATAGTATATTAGTATATTAGTATATTAGTATTTATAAAATAGAATGTCTTATAAAGTAATTGAGTAATGCATGTTAGTTGTTTTGTACCTTGAAGCAATCTTGATCAAAATTAAATTAATAGTAAGTGTCTGCACAAAATAATATATTATCTATCTTTTGCAAAGGCAATCAAATAAAATGTAAGTTAGAGTTACTAGATAATCATAGCTTGAATCATAAGTGCATGATGTTTACATAAAAATATCCATTGAAATCAACTAGTAACTATAGTATACATTAATAATTATTAGTTTTAATTATAAATGGTTGTATGTAAATAGTGCAATCATAATGTTATGATAAAACTGTGAATTATTGTAGAAAAAAGATAAGATAACTATGAACTAGATGGACAAAGGCATAAAAAAAAGTTTAGAATCAATACAATGGTTGTAGAAATGTTAGGGGCCAAATCAACAAAGATATTGGTTTCAAGTATCACCACTATTGTTTAAGAAATAACAATTATTTTGATGAATATTCGATATTACTTTGTTGATATATTTTTTGATTCGTCTATGACTATTTTGAACTCTTGTAAAACTTTTGTGGTCATTAATGTTAACACTCTTTGAAATCTGTTTTGTAGTGAGATTCTTAACAAAATATTTGTCTAAATTATTAGTGGTGGTTCTAGACCTCAGTCCTTGACTATTTTCTTTGAACCTTTCTTGCTAGTATTAGATTTTTGTTGGCCCTAAACTTGGCCAAGGTTGGACAATCTTTTATTCAATGGTTAATATCAATACAATATCAATACTTTTTAAATAGATTTAAGTATTAAATATTAATTAATTTCTTGGAATTAGTAACAAAATTGTAGATTTTAATTTCAAGTTTTCAACCAATGCCTAAATCTTTGGCTATGCAAAACCAAGACTCAAGTGACTTTACATTATTTAGATCATTTCTCAATACCGTACATTAACTTGCGATTATTTTTAGAAAAAACAACAATAATTTTTTTGGGAAGATTCTTAAGTGATATCTAAGTCGTAATTTTAAAGAAATTAGAATACAAATATTCTTTTGGATTTTAGATTGCATAGGGATTAAAAATTCAAACACATAATTGAAAGGTGTAAAATCCAAATTTCAACCAATAAGGTAATTACACTAGAATCCAATGTATGATCTCTACCAAATAATGTATTTGGTATAAATAAATGTGGCAAAGATTCTTGCTAATAATAATAGCTCTTTTTATAGATTTTCCTAGATCTTTCTTCCATAAGATCCATTAGAAGAGTCCTTCTTGTGCCATAAACTCTAATATGCTTACATGCATGTTACACCTTTAGTACATCAATGCTACATCATATGCACTTGGTATATGTTGCTATCATTACAATATGGGAAAAATAATAATAATAATAATAATAATAATAATTACAAACATTATTGCTTAGACTACATATATTAAGCATTAAGCAAGGACTGGTTCCACTTCACAACTACTTCCACTATGCACGGACTATTGGACAAAGTTTAATTTTCATGATTATCAAAATGTGCTTTTGTCACTTGATAAAACATCAAAATATATGTAAAAGTCCTATATTTCTTTAAATGACATGTAGCATGCAGAGCAAACATTTAACTAGAGGTTGTTACTTTCACAATTACGCATACAAATGTGTCGTTTGGCAACAGGGGTGATTGAAAGGCGGCAGTGCTCAATCACCTTTAGGACCAAGGAGGTGAAATAGTTGAAACCCTCTCAACCCCAATTGTAGACACATTAGTTCTGTACTAACTTATTTGCTTGCAGCATATTAATATCCAGTAGATTGTGTTGGCATCAGAGGTATCAGGGCATGATGATGTCATACAGCCGATGAAATTTATGTCCTTGCCAGTTTCAAAAGAGGAAAAACAAGAGAAAAGGCGAAAACTCTGTTGGCCACCCTTGAACACCCACTAAAACCTATTGTATGGAACCAGAAAACAACTTGTATGACGAATCTTATTAATTGAAGCACAAAGAATAGCTTCAAATTTGATAATTGTACCGTATTGCAATAATGATCGCACTAAAAAATTGTAGCATTGAAAGGACTACCTATACAATCACAACTATACAAATTACGAAAGTCTGATGAGCACTCATTAAGAGATAACTGATTTCATACAGATTATGAAATACACTAGTATTAAGAGCCCATCTGAAAAAAAGAACAGTTTACATATACTTGGAGTGGTAATAGCAATGTTGAGGCTACTCCCACTCCCCCCAATCCTGAAAATTCCAACAAAGTTCTTGTTAGAAGACGATTAAGTGCAATCCAAAGGCACAAACCAACTGACATCACCAAAGTCTGTATTTAAAGATATATGCAGCAGCTATGAGAAAATGCAGCACTTGTGGTCATTATGTTCTTAGGAGCAGTACCTCTTCATTCTCCTCCGCAGCAGTCACACCAAGACCTTTCGGAGTTGTCACTTTTTCTGTTTCCCCCTTCTTCAGAGTAACTATATCATCTATGGTCAGGTGTCCAAGCTGGTCAAGTTCGGCTTCATCCACCTCATGCTCAGACTTGTTAGATATACAAGATTCAGCTTCTTTCCTGCAGAAAAATAGACAAGCAGCAATCACCTTTAGCTCTGGGATGCACTACATACTGTAAAGTGAGAACAACCAAGGACACAGATACGAAATTCACAAACGTCAACTAGTTGACACAAAAGACGGATCAGGCATTCACTGGACAACCTCAACATCACGAGGGTGCCAATAAAGGAAAAAACAGTCAAGAGTGCCAGAGAATGCAAAAATGAAAAATCTATGCTAACAAGCCTTGCTGTGTATGAAGTTCCGACCTAAGCTATTAAGGATTGATCTTTCAACATTATTGAGTGATCAAGCCAAGCACAAATAAAATCCTAGAAATTCACCAAATCTTTCAGATGTAAGAAACTGAAGTTTCGTTCCAGACGTAGACCAGTCTTGCCAAAAATATTTCATAAACCATCACATACCCCTCTGAAATGGGTGATGTCGGTGATGACTTGGGCTCTGAACTTCCTGAACCCTTGTCTTGAGAAACAACCAACCATTCACTCCCTGCACTCCCCTCACTTTTTGCTTCCTCTTCATCGTGCGTTTCTGTATTCACTGAATGGTATTTTCAAACATAAGATTTCTATCGAATACATCACACTGCTATCCTATGAAAATCTTGGATCGACGCAACATCTGTACACAACAATATACTCAAATCCGCAATTAGACTAGCCAATGTGATGCTGATCCTGTTCAAATAATGTATTATAGGTGTAAAAAAAAAAGCAAGTGAAGTATCATTCAAATGTTAAATTCAACAACGGCTCATACATAAAACGAATCTCATTCGTTACATTTTGCCAAAAACTCCACATCATGCGTATCTATGTTTGAAAGGTCCCATTGTGAACAGCTGACAGGGAGAAATTCTGCGATTCGGCAGCTTTAAGAGTTTCATACCCTCAACAGAAGAAACCAATGGGGCTTCAATGCTTCGAGTAGATGTAATAGCTTTAGTCAGCTTAGCATCCTGCACTACGATCTCAGTAGGTACAACGGGTTCCTCTATTTCCTTCTCTTCATCAACATCCCAACTGAGATCCTCATCTTCTTCTCCATCAGTTGCTCCTGTTTCACAATGATTGTATAAATCAAGACCTCAAAAACTTGGTCACTGCATACTACCATGCAAGAAATATGAAAACTTTAAACACATTGTTTCCAAACTAAGCTCACTTTTGACGAGATTGACCCGGGCATTCTCTATCTGTTGCAACTTGTTGAGTCGATAGAAGTAGCGAGTCCAAAATGTGTCATACTCCACTTGACTTGGCACTAGCCCCAACAAAAAACATGTTAGTATCAACTAGACGAAATGACGAAAACAGGGACACCATATATATGTAGCAGTCTATCATATACCAGGAGCAGAAAACTAAAACCCTAAATCACACAACATAGTACAGTGTTTAACAAGGGAATTCAGAATAAAATACAAACAATGCAGAGCGTTTTACCAATCTGGTTTTGGAGCTCTTTCATGAACGCAGAAGTTGACAGAATTTCATCAATCTCCCCCTTTCTGAGCAGCAGAATAAATATTTGATCAACTGACATATTGGAAAATAAGCAATATGGACGGCACGAGTCCAACGATCAATGCAGATCGCAGTACAGCAAAAATATACGCAACCAGCTGTTCAATCTCAAATAAAATCCTGTGACATAGTACTCATCCCACTGGTGATCATACCATCCACGGCATACACATATCACTTAAGAAGAGACACAATCGCACGTGCAAATACTGATGAAATAAATAAAACTGCAGCATCACTTTTCTTCTCGAACATATTGATGCGCCTGTCTAAACAAGAGACACCCTTGATTTCTACAACTTCATGATCATCACACAAATTCAAAACAAAAAATTAATGGTAGTACCGATCTTCTAGGTTGAAGGTAGCCACCCAAGAGGCAAAATCCTTCTCATCCTCTGGTTCGTCGCAGTAAGTACTGCTATCTCTCTGCATTGCATACACCTGTCATGAAATAATCCAGGGAAAACATGAGACCTAAAGAATTCAAATTTTGAGAAGAGACAAAGTAGGCATCGCTGACTTTACACCAACCAGAAACCCCACAACGTGCTGAGTAGCTAACATGCAAAAATCTTGCAACAAATTGTGAGAAGTGCATATCCTGGGTCTACATAAACTTGAACGAACCCGCACGTATTTGGGCCTATTCACTGGTAGAAAACTATCTCACCATCACAAAACTACAAACACTACCGTAACCAAATAAACCAACCACATTAAGAAGATAATCTGCCTGTGAATTTTCTCCAAATCTTAACTTGATAATGAAGCAACAGCAAAAATAATCCAGAATAGAAATTTGAAGTTAATGATACAAGATACCTGGGATTCGTGACGACTAAACTTCCTGCAGTTCAGCAAATGTGAAGTTGTTAATCCGCAGATCCGTCATACACAAAAATAATTCGTGCAAAAAAAAGAGAACACCTATTATAATTAAATTAAGCAGTTGAAATCAAAACAACCACATGCCTGTTTTAATATATGATTCGGTTAACGTGAAGCTAGGCATGAGAGATAATAGCTAAGTGTTCACCAGCACAACTTAACTTTCCACTAGTGGTATATACACGAAAAAGCGAAGTAGATCAGCGACCATACTGAAGAACCAGAACATAAAAATTGAAGTCAACCATTCAAGTTCAGATCGGAGCATCTAATTACAATGTTTGAAAAAAACTAAGAGTATTAAGCCAAGAAATCGAAAATGAGACTTTACGCATTTGGAAGACAAGCTGATGAATCTCCCGTTAACAGGTGAGATTCAAGACTGGAATTCTCGTCCGGAACTTCATCAACAATGAGAACGGCTTCTTTCACTTGTGTAAAAATCTCCGTGGTGCTGTTAAAACCCAAAACATCCATGCGGACCAATCTAGGTAAGTTTTTGAAAATAAAATGATACTCGTTGGAATTTTACAGAGAAATATACAACTCATACAAGCAACCGATTAAGTATTAAAGCTATGGTCTACCAAATCGTATGAGTACAGGATGAAAAATACCCTCGCCAAACCGTGCTTCCAAAAACCTCTAACGTTTGACCAACAGTTTCCAGAGATTCCTAGAACACCACCACAATGACGCATAAAGAGAGTTTCAGAAATACAACTCGAACGAAAATACAGAAATGCTTTCAAGTCGTCTAGCTTTGAACTGAACGAATGCGACAGACCAACAACCGCAGTCACAGCATCTAGAAAGCAAACAGAAAATATGAAAATGAACCCAAACAACAAGTGACATCACAAAAACGTTCCGCACAAGCGAAGTAGACCGAGTACGATAAGGGTCTGATAAGAAGTCCTTACTTGGGCCACTGAGGCGCCTGTTTCTAGAGACAGAGGAAGGTCTTTGACAACGTGAGCTGTGACCCCCGAGATCACTTCTGTCTCTTTCTTCAGCCCGATCCCAAATTCTTTCAAATCTTGCTGATATGTTTGAAGCACTCCGCCAGACTGTCAATCCAGAAGAACAATTAACCTTCATGTAATACTACCCTCGTACTCCTTTTCAACGTCCAGTCAGAAATATTTACTTCTATCTGAAATAGAGGGCATTCCTCACAAAAGAAATATTGAACACTTTCATATTTGTGTTCGATAATCAGGTTTCACTCCAAGTTTCAAAAGGAGGAAGAGATGAGGAAAGGGAAATCAGATGCCTACTTATATGCAAATATGCTTTTAGTAAAGAAGACAATTAACTTATCATCACCTTCTCTGCAATGGTCTTCATGAAGCCCCCAAAGTTCCAGCCACTGGATGTTCGCAGGAAAATAAACATCATACCTCAATAATTTGTCAAGCAAGACAATAATCTAAGGTGATATACAACATACCTTAGATCAATTTAAAACATGGAGATCAACCTCAAGAGACTGTATGAGCACCTTAATTGCGACTCTCTTGGGAACTGCTGCTCCTCGCTCTCCACATCATGTTCCTAAGCCAAGACGAGCGGAGACTATGATCAGTAGAATCTTCATACCCATAACGCCAAAAATACATCTATGCTTTGATTCGAATCCAGCTCCCAGTTTGCGAAGAAATATGCAACGAAACAATCCAGTAACCACTAACAACTACAATATTCTGCAAGCACATAGGTGGGGGCTACCGAGCCCGCATCAAAACTGGTATCACGGAGTGCGACAAAGCAAATCGGACGAGCTGAACTTTCAATTTCCACTGCCCTATGGTCCTCCAAACGTAACGATTCTGAAAAACCCAGCGCGACATGATCGGATACATAACCTAATTTCTTCCAAATGTCCTTTTCACATACACGAGCTAGTCCGAATTATTTGGAAACACTAATAAGTCAACATGCCCGTCGAATAAAGTTTTGACGTAAAACAATTACTCAACAGCCTTATTCTTTCTCTCAAGGAAAAGATGCGTTTCGCATTACTATGTTATGAGCAACGTTAGATCAATTCACCGACAGAATAGGCTAGAAATGCGAGGAAGTGAACTAATTATGTCCAATTTCATGCCATCCAGTCTTCAACGGCACATGTCTCATCATTTATACCACGTTCCCTCAAGACCCCAGGTGGTACTGTAATATAGTAACGCCAGAAGTCTCAATCATTGCAACGATATAGTAGCTGGTCTCAAAGTTAGACATTCTAGATTTCCAGGGGAGATGAACTACTTAAAAGGGGATCGACAATTTGCAAGGTACATAGTAAACTGTGGTATCAATACACAGAAGTAATGGCTCTTGTTTTTCAAGAGAGTAAAAGATACCTTACATCCATTGTTCAGATATGCCACTGGCTGATAAATTACACCTATTACCAGTCATCTAATGTTCTAACTTCGCACAGCTGGTTGTCCGCACACGGAACACCTAATCATCCACACTTACACCTGGACTTACACCTGGTCTTATCGTGACTATTTGATCATTTGAATTCATTGTGTATTCTAAAAAATCCTAAAACTTGACGAGCAGAGACAGAGTGAAACATAAAGAGACGAATATTTGGTAAGTGGTACTACATTAACAAACCTGAGGAGATTCTACAGGAGGTGAAGACGACGAGGAGATGGATCCAAAAAGTCCACCCGAAAAGAAACCTCCAATGGGGTTCATCCCCATCATGTTTCACATGCAATGGCTTCCTCGCAGTTTCTAACCTAAGCACAGATGTTATCAAACCTCACGCAACGTCGTGATAAAATATTCTTTGATGGCATGAAGCCTTGAACCTCAATAGATTTCCTTCTTCAAATCTTTCTGCCAATACCTCCCCAAAACATGTATCCGCACGCTCTCCGAATTCTCCTGCAAACACATACAATTGCCCCTCTATTTCTGTAACCTTTCCTTCGAGACAAGAAAATTATCCCTGTTGTATCTCAAACCGTGGATTCGAAATTCAACATTTCGCTAGATTTGCTGCAATAGCACCAATTGATACTCTTCATCTCCCTATCACTAACCACCTTCTCAACTCTTCCGACAGCGTCTCCGAGGCTAAATCAAACCTGAGTCAGATTCCCACCCTCTACAGAAACTCGCTCTCCTCTGACAACCAAAGCGGACTCAAAAAAACTTGTCCTCCTCCCGCACCAGTTTCTGTCCACCACAATTTAGCCAGCAACTGAAAGCATCCGCACACGCTCCACAACAACAACAAAAAAATAAAAAATAAAAAATAAAAAATAGCAGCGTTTCATTTATCACTCTCCCAAAGTGAAATATGCATGGAAATCGGCAAGCAGCACATCGAAACAGAGCATCTCACGGCGTCCAGGTCCCGATCTCTACCGTGCGTGGTAATATGCAGAGCAATTAGACCTGCCGTGCACCGATTGAGCGGCGACTCGGAGGACTTTAGACATGAGAGGAGGAAGCAAGGCTTGACATAAACACCATGAGAGAGGGAGTATCGGTCAATCGCGGGCCCATCATCTCATTTCCCCGGTTTGGCACAACCCAGGACTCGACTCGGTCTTTTCAATAATTCTGGCCCATTTTCTGACCCAAATACAGCGCGAGAATTAGGTCAGTTTTTTTTTATTATTATTTTTTAAAAAATCGAGCAGCTGAATTGCCTATTTCACTTACATACCAGAATTGTGTGTGGGAGTGTGTTTATTAACACACGGGCAGAGGGGGCAGAGTATCAGATAACAGTATATTTGCCTATCACTTACTTTGTTTAAACGTCCTTGAATGATTTATTCATAGTGTATTGATATCAGTGATCGAGTAATATCATGTGGCTGTAAGTAAGTGGCAAGAATTTGGACTGGTGTTCTTTGGTGTTTATTACTTTAACTTAATAAATATTTTCTCTCTTCCCTTTTTTTTTGTTTTGTAAACTTGTAATTTAACATGTGCATGTAATTTTTAATATGAATATTGGCATTCATTAAAGCAATATTAATGAATTCATTTTGATATTTGAAGAGATTGATCCCAGTTTTTCTTCTTGAAAAAGAAAAGAAAAATTCTTGGATTGATAATGCATGGATGGAATAAATGCATTGTATTATTCAGAATATTTTGAGTGTAACCAAAGGAGAATGGCATTGGATTCAAATACTCATTACATTTCTCAAACGTCCATGATACACTTTTAACAAATCACTTTATAATTTTACTAAATTGACCCATTAAGTGACAATTTTGTTGATTCATAAGTGTGCTTTGAGGGCTCCACTTTCATATCTTTGCTTGATTTGCAAGAGGGTGTTGAATCCCTCATGTGTGATTAGATGGGTCAATTAAGTAAAAGGGTGGATTAATTTTAAATTTTCATATTTCTATATATATATATATATAGATAGATATACACATATATAAATTTTTATTAATAATATTAATTATTAAATAAATGTATTTTATTAAAAAATTATTGAGATACAGTAAACCATATTTTCTCTATTTTTGATGTATGAATAAAATAGTTATTTTAACAATAAAATAATTTTGTAATTTTCTCAAAAAAAATATTGAGATAGAAAAAGTCTTAATTAAATACTATAGTGTGTATTAAGAATTTAATTAAAAATGAATTTTTATAAGATGTATAAAATAAGGTAAAGATTAATTAGTTTACAAAAATGACATTTCATTAAAAGTTTATTATTTTGTTTCAAAAGTAAATTTCTGTTTGACTTTTTTTGTGCACAATACACTGCATGCTTTGATAGAAATAATTTTAATATAAAATATAAATTTATTAAGTTAGAAAACTATTTTGATATCAATGGCAATTATAAGCATAAATTTTATCATTGTTTATTTTAAAAATTAAAATTATTGATATTTTTATTTTTTTAATTCCAAACTTTAAAGTTTTATGATAGTAAATTATACAAAATTATTCTTTAAATATACTACTAAATTTAAAAAAAATTTGAAATTATTATATTTTAGGTTAAACATAAATATTAATTTAAAACGTGTTATGAACATACCAAATTAATAATTGTGCAATTCTTTTAAAAACAATTCTGAAATACAATTTTGGTATTTATATTAAATTGATAAATTACACCTAAAATAAAATAAAACTAAATATTAAAAATAAAATAAATAGGATATGTAAATAAAAACTTCTTATGGGAAAATAAAAATAAAAAACACTAAAACTATATATACTTATTTATATATCAAAATACTTAAATTTGGATATTTATTTCTATTAATTATTCAAAATATCAATTGATTAAGTTAATCTTTTAGTTACATTACTTGAATATTGACTATTAATTTAAAAAATTGTGTTATAATATTTTTAAAATTAAAAAATAAAAGGCTTTGGTTTTAAAAAGAATTGGTTTAATCAAAATTAATAAAAATTTATAGATTTCAATAAATATATATAAATTAATTAAAACTAATATTAAGTTAGTAATATAATTTAATTTCATATATTTTAAATTTTTATAACAAATTTATTGAAAATATGTTGGTTTAATTTTATCTTTTGGTTTTTGCTTCAAAAATAAGTAAAAAATCTGTCTATCTTGGGACTATCCATAACTAAGTTTATTAATCAACTCTAAAGCTATCTCTATAAAAAATTAAAAATATTTTTATATACTTATGTATCATAGTAGTTCAAAAGCGGATTAAAATTAAAATATCTTAAAATATAAAAATATTTTTTAATAATTAAAAAAAATCAAAATTAATATTTTTAATTTAAATTATACTCTTTTTTCTATTTTTATATAATTTTATTATAGGATAATTGCAACCAATATTTTAGGAGTAAGAAAATTAAATTTTATAAAATAGAAGTTTTAACTTCTCAAATCTTTAATATAATAAAGCTTTAAAAAAGTAAAATCTAATATTAAAAACTTCAATAGTATTTATGAAACCAAATGTACATGGTAGAACACCATAAAGTAAAGTTACAGGGTAAACATGTTACACTACTGATCAACATAGTACTGTATAGATTAATAGCTTAAATGTTATTATTTCTATACTTATTTTTATTATTTTATATATTTCAAATTTTAGATAAAATATATTCAATTTTTTTTTTCTCTTAAAAATCAATTTACTAATACTTTAAAACTAAAATGTGTAAAATTAATTTTTGTAAATAATATGATTAAATTCATGATTATAATTTAATAAAATAGTGTTTCTAATACACCCTTATTAGTAAGTTATATTTTTAGTGAGTTAGTTAAGAAGTATATCATATTTACTGGTTAAAATTTATCTAAATTTTGTTTTTTCATTTGTACTTTTGACATAGAATCATATAAGAATAATATCTAGGCAAAATATGATACTATGTGCAATATTTTATAATTTTTGTCTTTTTATATCAACAATAAATGACATCCATAAGAAATAAAATTATAAATGACATCCATAAGGAACAATTAGCAGCTTAGTAATTGGCAACTAATTATTAGAAGTTCCTAAAATACTAAATAGAAGAGGTGTAAGGTGAAAGATTTTTAGGTTTTGAAAAAATAGACACAATATCATTTATAAAAAATCAGTCACAATTAAAGGTTTAGGATTTGTAAAAAAAAAAAAAAAAAAAAAAAAAAAAATGGTGTAAAGAGTTAAAGCAGCTATTATTTGGATTTTTTGTTCATCCAATTTCAAGTACCAAGTTGGCTACTATTCCACTACAACTCAATTTTTTATAACAATTTTGCAAAACAAGTACCCAGTTCATATTTTGACTTTTTTACTTCATCTGTCAAATCATCCATGCATATCTGTAGACATAGATGAATAATAGCTGCCTTAAATTTTGTAAGATTTTGTGGGCAGGCAACCAATCATTGAAAATTTCTTAAACTATTTATAAGAAAGGTGCAAAGTGAAGAATTTGAGGTTTTAAAAATATAAACACACAATCATTTATGAAAAATTAGACAGAATTATAAATTTAAGGTTTGCAAAAATGTTCTAGTGTAAGCAGCCATTTGAATTTTAGGTTCAACCAGTAATAGGTAAAAGCTGGGTACCTATTTCACTATGGCCTCTCTACAGAACCTTCCACAGCTTTTCACCTATGAGCCCCACCACATCACAGTCCAGTTCAGTGCCAGCTGAAGTCATAAAACACATGATCCCTATTACTCATATTTCAACAGTGGAATACATTCAATGCTGGGAGCAAAAGTACGCTGTAAGACTGCAAGAGCACTAAAACTGAAACAGTGATTGGATCACGAGTAGAACCAGCACTCGGAGGTGAATGACACCAAGATTCTAAAACTTGCATACTGCTCACAATACTGTTAATTTCAACTTAACCTGCAAGGTGGATAATGGCTTTGTAGTCAGATATCAAACTATTTCGTAAGCAGGAGAAAAAATGAGTGAAGTCATGACTTTGCTTGTCAAAGAAAAAGTGCACGACATGCTCAGTTTGCTGAAGGGTAGAATCGAAGGACATAAAACAGCAGAAAAATGATCCAAGCATTTAAGAGAAGAACCTCAACCAACTTCCTTGGAACGCGCAGCACCAAGCCATGTAGGTAACCAGACCATCAGAATCTTCTTAACAACACCATACAAGGAACTGCGGATCATGAGATCGCGAGAAGAGTAAGTCATTGACTGATATAATTTGTGGACACAATCATTTGATGAGGTTGGAAAATGTCACATATGCTCAACAGGGACCTATTATTAGAAAGTACAGAAGACCAATTGCAGCAACAGTTGAACTGACTGGTTGTCTATTCCCCTTCACGAACCTCACCAAACCAACTCTCTCATGAGTATCTCTCATAACCAAAACCACAGAGTTCTAAATCATCTATAACTGGCTTTTTAGCCAACGAAGTGCATTTTTTTATTTCTAGGCAAGGGTTATCTTGCCACACCAAATTAAGAGCAAAAAGTGCAAGAGTTTCGCTGGAGATCTAGAATTGTGAATCATGATGAGACAGGTTTCCACAATTCCCAAAATTTGGGTAATATACATAGGAACAGTCTCTCACCAGGGACTATTACCCCGCTGGCAAATCCCTGTGTTATGTACATGTGAGGGTACAGATTGTTCTTCAGCTGATTGACCAGAACGATTAACCCATTCGTGAGAAAGGAACTCTGTGCTTCACTTCAGGGATGTCGAAGTTTCCCTCACCATCAGATAAAGCAGAACGATATGGACGTCGTGGCTGAGAATAGGGCGGTATAGGCGGGTATAGTTCCTGACCAGCTTGAGCACCTTGCGATGAGGGATAGGGAGCAGTCTCATGATGAGACCTTACCTCAGGTGGAGGATAAGAGCTGTCAATAGGAAAACCTGCAGCAGGTTGGGGATACAACGGAGAATTTCCCTGCATAGGTGAATGACAAAATAAGTAAGGACGGCTGATGTAATGAACAACCTGTTTCCAATGCCAATCAATTGCATTGATGCAGAAGCTACCATATCTACAATTTCCGCTAACTGCTGAATTACAGCACACAAATCCTGCTAGCACCGTCGTGCAAGTGAGTGTAAATCGTTAGAAGCCAAGGTAAAAATGTCCCGTTGCCATGTGTTTATGAACCACATGGTCAGAAGAATGAAGGCCCCGCTATTTAGTGTCGGTACCATTACCAGGACAACTTTCAACAAACACAGGAAAAATTCCGGAGTCACATGTACTGAAACAGAGGGAGCTTACAAGGACCAACACTGCTTTTATTTATGCGCTCACCGACACTTGCAAAGATCTAATAATTCGAACAGAAACTCCTCAGTGTGATAACAAACGAACCTGTGGATACTCTCGAGAATGGCCCTGAGCGGGAGCCCGAGCTGGACCTTGAGGGACACCTTGATTTGGAAATGATCTTTGCTGAGAACCATTAGACTGCATTGCGAGAAATTGAAGCAGCTCAGAAAATCGGGCTTGTGCATGTACTGATCCTCTTTGCCACCACTGAAGTACTACATCACCAGCTCTGGTCCTTAACTCATTCAAATTCCTATCAATTTCTAGCTCGTGTTGAGCCACTAAAGGTCTTAAAAGCATATTGTATACATATGTTGTTCCCTACAATACACCATTCAATCTCTGAATTAGATAATGTTAATCAAATACTGCATTCATACTAACATCTGCTGTCATTACACGGAAACACCCTTCTGGATCATTTTTAACCGAAAAGCGTGAACAAATAACTACGAAACGTAACATCAACATGTCCCTCTCTCACAAGCTTCCCGGGAGAGTACTGAAAATTATATGCTTTGGCTAAACGGGACATACCATTGTCTGTGGATACCAAAGATAAATGATGAAAGCGAGCTTTGCTTCACTGTACAAAGGAACCCTGAAAAGAAAAGAAAAGAAAAGATCCATTTGTTAAGTTAGAACAGATATGGCCTTTTCATAAGTTCTATTCGATCATGCTCCTAACAATGTGACAATAAGTTATGATGCAAATAATAGTAACTCCGTGGAGCCCAATGTTTCAAGCATTATGGCGTTGTGAAACAACACTTCTCATGGAAGCTCACAATTCAATTCACTAAAACAAAACGACTCTTCAAAAACTGTAACTCTCATCAAACTCCAAAATAACTAAGAATTCAGTTTCTTCACAAGTATTTGTTTACGGGTCATGAACTCCATTCAGTTTTATTTATGTATATATTTCTCAGAAGATTTAAGCAGAAGAAGGAGAGATGTAAAATTTATGAGAGAATCAAAGTCTTGGATGGTAGACACATACCAGGAAATTAAGGCGTCTGCAAATCTTTCTACAACAGTCACCACTGCAATTATCACCCTGCAACGCATAGCACACATCAGCAATAAATGAGTTCTTCGTTTCCTTCCGAAAACGACAATCGCATGTTACTAGGACAGTCTAGTCAAATTGTGACAGGTTACACGTTTCAATCAGTGCGACGAATATGATTAGCCACTCAACTGCTCTACCCTACGACAATTGATCAAGCAAGATCTAGGAAACCATGCCTAAAACTTCTATCCCACATTATTATGCACGATTTAATTACCATAGAGATGCAGCTTCCAAATTTCAGACAACCTGCGAAATGACCAACACGCCTCCAGAAAATTCCATCGTTTCTTAATGCAAACGACAAATAACTTCCCTGATTTTACGAGCATATCGACCATGTTCATAGAAAAGAACTACTCACCAGTATTGGCACCAGAATCGCAGATACTCTGGATCTGGCCTTTTCCTCTCCACTATCTTATAACATTCATAAGCTGGATAAATGTACCCAAGTACCATGCTGCATCAAAACCAAACTCACCAAAAACCAAAATCAACGACTTCCGAATTAATTGACAGTATCCGATATCATTATCGACGTCTCATGTACATAAGCGACATGAAAAGACCCGAACTCAGTTGCATAAAATTCTTTGCGCCTCTCGGTAAATGCAAGGTGGAAATACTGCAAAGAATTGCCCAGGACTTTTTTTTAAAGTTAACCATTGTTGACTTCGTTACGAGGCAGTCAAATAGACGTAACCTTCACATTGATGCACAATCTGGCGCAATTTAGTTCCATGAGCACTGCATTCTATTGAATCTTGCATTTCTTTAAATATATTCTTCCAAATACTTCAAAAATAATCTTTCAAAAATATATACTCTAACCATTCGCGACAAGCTAACTATTATTCGTCCACACGCTACCGCAGTTGGGAAAAGCAAACGAGATGATGACTTACATGATCGCCCGTGTAATGAAGGATCCCATCATCTCGAACGGCACACCCTACAATACTTTTTCTCCAAATTAAATCGAGGTAGCTCAGCTTCAATCCTTTCAGAACATAACTTTCTAGCAATTGATGGATGAACCACTAAAAACTGTCACAAACCCTTCGACCGCATCGTCGGTTTCTCTTCGCCCCAAGAGCATCCACTGAGTAGCTATCTGAAAGATAAATAGCGAATGACGACGTCACAAGCAACGAAAAATATCCTTCTAAGTCAACCAACTTTGCCAGACTCCATCCACTCCAATGAAACCACGTGGAGAAACAATTCCGTCACGCAGCACCAACCGAAACAGACCGTGCACCAAATGACGCAATAACAAAACGAAATAGGAAAACCTCGGCACTGAGATCCTTCACACTACGCACGATAGAAGCTTGCAAATATTCTCTGTCAAACTGCTCCAAAAAAGAAAAAAAAACATCACCCTCTTCCTCCTAAACGCCTTCTCACAAGAATTCACGTGCACACTCAATCCAATCACTTTCTCCGTCCGACCTGTCAACCAATCGCACATGCGTCACGTCACTTGTGCCACCAGCGACATTCAAAACTCACACGCTTTCTACTCCGTCGAACCTCTCTCATCAGAAACCTCTCCACACACATCACCACAAGCATCGCTCCACACGCACATTTAATAACACGCAAGTACCTATCCGAGAGGTTTTACCACACGGATCCTTCGCCTGGTTGATTCAACACCAACTCGAGAGAAGAAGGAGCTTGCGCATCCCTCGCAATTCCAAACAAACCAATCCCAAAGCCTCGTGAACCTCCTTCACCTCCCGCCACATACCGTCTGTCACACTCCAGCTACTAACCAATGGTCCACTGCTGAGGCAACAGCTGTGGTCTCTAAAGCGTCGCAATGCTGCATGAATAAAATAATCTCGAACCCAAACATGACCTCAACTTATTCTTCATCGGATTGCAACACTCTATTCCCAGCGTCCTTTCAAAGAAATGGAGACCGAGGAGAGGCGGAAGGATGCTCATTTGGAAAGGCGGGGTGGCGGTTCAAACACCAGACGCATCTAGCTCGCCCATGCCGTCCACGTCAGCAACCCCGCCAACCAGACTCTTGTGGCGGGGCGGTCCAAGCCCCTGTCGCTGTGGTAGTTACGAATTCATGGCGGCTATAACGAATCCCAGTCGTGGTCAAACCATGAGGCTCGCCTTCTCGAATGCTGGTTGATGGAGATGCTCGCCCCACCGATTTGGGGTCTCTGGGCCTACAACCACGCTGGCTGGATGGTGTGCTGCCGGATGGTCTCATTTGACGATCCTGTCCACTTAGTTCATCCATCCATCTTTCCAGGTCGAATTTACCTTCATTTTTACTGTACAGAAATCTACGAGAATGCACTGATGTATTAACGCCACGGTGAGATATCTATGTTAAATTAATAGAGGTAATATTTCAAATACGTGTATGTTTATTATGTGTTATGTTCAAATAAAAACATCCTACATCAGAAAAAAAAAAATCTTAGCTCGTAATAAATACACCCCATCTTGTATATTAAATTTAAGCAATCTTTGGCTTCTAATTATCTGACTAATTACTTTGACGTAAAAAATTATTATTATCTTGCACGATTGGGTATTAATCATATACCTAATCATGAGTTTTCACACAATATATGAAAGGATTATCTCCAATGTTAAATACTTTAACTTTTAATTTTGCAATATTGCTTTATTTTGAGGTTTTTGAATCAACATACTATTTTATATTGTTTCTAAAAGTAAAATAAAAAAATCATATAAAATTCTACTAACCATACTATTCTGGTATTAAGAATTCATTGATTATGTGTTGGTGGAGCATTTCACTCCAGCAATCATATGCCAAGTTGCTCAGTGCACTTCAAAGCTTCTTTTCTGTATTAAAAAATGCACCTCTTTCATGACTACAGCAAATAGCCTCGCCTCCATGTGCATTGGAGTTTGAACCCTAAATCCTGATCAGCTCGTAACTTGGTTTTGTACTTCGAAGCTCTCCAATAAATATATATTTGTTCAATCGTGATCAGTTGTTGCGGCGATTCATGTTTCTGCCACCGCCATCATACGTATCTGAGTGCGTTGCCCACTGGGTCAAGTAACAACCCACCACTGTGTCGCATGCTGCCGAAGTCTCCAACTGAGCTGGATAATTCATGTGCACTCACTGGGCTTGATCCTTCAACGAATGTCCCCATTTCATGAAGGACGCTTACTTTTTCTAGTGGTGGGATGGAGTTGCTATTCAAGGGATCAGCACACAGACAAACACCTCTTACTTAAATTACAAAGAACATATATGTATGTATGTATGTATGTCAATATACGTATTTATACATATACATACACAGACCATTGCAATCGCACCTATAATATAACGTCACTTGTATTACAATCTAACTACAGGCTGAAACCTTACACATATATGAATATATTCACCCGTGAAATTCCATCTAATTATAGGATTGAGCATTTAACTCGAAAAGCATACAATAGAAAATGTCATCTATTTATAAACTCCAAGCTCCAAGGCTTAAAGCTCCATCCGATCGGGTTTCAATGCCCAGATATCGACGGATTGAGTCGAAGTTGAACCACGCATGAGTGCAATTTGGACCAGAATCTTGGAACAGGAAGCTTGATTCGATAGAGAATTGAAACAACTTCACCAAAACTCCGGAACATTATTGATTATTTGATGAGTTAAAAATATAAAAGTTACTGTCATTTCAGCATGTTTTCGTTACGAATTTATGAATGTACGTATGTAAATATCATTTTATAAAACTAAAAGCGTTTGTCAAATTTTATCATGAATTTAGTCTGGTATCTAAAGGGAAAACATATGATTAATCAAATGATGCTGGGAAATATTAGTGTTCAAATATGATAGTAAAAAGAAATTCTCAAACAATAATCATCTCATTATAACACTTGAAGAATGACTTACAATCATATTTAATATCATAAAAACTTGTAAACAATATGCAGATTTTTCAGTACTGTGTTTTCAGTAAAATTCCAAATAGTGAAATTATAACCACATACAACAAGCAGTGCTTCTTATTGGACATGTGTTTCAAATTATCTTCTATGACTTGTCTTGATAAAAAAACATCAGTTCTCTTCCATAAAATTTAAGAAATCATAATTATGACAACAACAAATGCATCTCTGTTGTGTCTATTCCTTTTAGAAAAGCTCAAGTGATAGTAATGGATGGAACAAAGATGAGTGTTTTGAACACACACAATAGTTGTACTTCGATCCACTGAGTGTTTTATGTAGAATTAACATTTACTCCAGCAATCACTTACACAGTTGCTCAGTGCACTTCAGATCTTCTTCCGTATTGAAATTTTCACCCCTTTCATGAGTACAGCAAATAGCCTCGCCTCCATCCGCTTAGAAGTGTGAACCACCGTGACCAGCTCGTGACTTGGAAAAGTACTCCGAAGCTTTCGAATCATAAGATCAGTCATGGTCAGTTAGTTTTTGTGGTGACTCATATATCTGCCACAACCAACGTAAGTGTCAAAGTGCGTCGTCCAATGAGTCAAGTAAAAACCCACCATTGTGTTGCATATTTCAGAAATCTCGCACCGAGCCGAGGTAATTCATGCAATCCAGCAATCACAATCGAACCAGATTATGCTCTTTATTGTGTATCTTGAGACTGTGGGGCTTGGGCGGGGATTTCAGCTGCAACAGGAACTTGAGGCGCATGCGGAGGGGCCGCAGGAGGACCTCCGTAGAAGAGATAATCAATCTCAATGGGTTGGAAGGTCAGACTGGGTTCTAGAAGGAGAAATTGTTGAAGCGCATCGGAATCCATAGTGACGAATCGGCTCTGCAGTTCACGGTGCCTGTGCAACTCTCTAAGCCAACTGAATTCAAGTGCAAACTACACTCACAGAACTGAAAGGAGCACGCTACAGCAACCGAAATACTTGAGCAAGGTACAAGCTACAGACAATGAAGCAGAAGGTCAAGGACAAATGCGCAAACTGGACTCTGAGCCTCAACTCATGTGTATACACACACACACACACACATATATATATATATATATAATCTCAGGCTACAAGCACACTGCCCCCAAATGGAACACCCCCAAATAAGCACACCCCCCCCGAAACACTATTTCTCCTCCTACAATTCCTTGTCCAAGAAGGTCCCGGCAAGAGTCCCGCACCTCCTCCCTCTGGTCCTTGTCCCCCCGCGGATCCAGGTCAATTCTTTCCCTTCTTCTTTCATGTCCCGACACGGGTCCCGGACCTCCTCCCTCTCTTTCTTGTGGCTGAAACTTTCAACCCACACACCTAAATGCACCTGTGCGTAACCATCTAATTATAGGCTCAATCCTCCACTAAATTATATCTATATATATATATATATATTCTCTTATATGTTATGTTAATAAATGTCACATCACTGTGTCTAGATCCATTGTCTCATGTCGAGTTAGGATGATACACAAGCGCGTCTACAAAAGAACCTAAAGAAATGGGAATCCCCACAATCTATGACACCTCATGAAATCATCGCGCCATATTGAAACACCTTGAATAGCAACTCAATCCCACCATTAGAAAAAGTAAGCGTCCATATAGGGTGTAGGGTTCATACTCCAATCACATGGAGGCGAGGCTACTTGCTGTAGTCATGAAAGAGGTGCAAATTTTAATACAGAAAAGAAGCTTTGAAGTACACTGAGTGAAATGCAGATTGAGAGTGTGATTGCTGGAGTGAAATGCTGAGTGAGAGTGGGATTAAAACCTCTTTGATGTGTTGGCCTAGGTAGTAGAGGAATAAGTACCATGTGGTTTATAAATCAAAACTGATTTATTGTTTTTTATTGAAATTTTTAATTATTATTTCTACTAATAACATTTAGGCTAGTTCAACAATTAATTGACTATTATTGAGCTACTATGACATATATACATATTTACCTAGATAAGAAGTATTGGATAGAGAATAAATGTAGGTAGATTTGATAATTTCTTGTGATGAAACTTCTTAGAAGCTTCATAAATATATATATATATATATATATATGACTTTAGATGTGTTTGAAGCTAATTGATAGGTAGAAAACTTGGCCAATAAATTGGCCATATATTGCACATGTTGGTGCTTTGTGGTACAAGTTGGCCATGTAGCATATATGCAAGAAATTTGTCTTGCAAGTTAGATATGTATCTTGTAGGTTGGATACATGTCAGAGGTCCATGTTGCCATGTAGCTCCTAGTTAGATAATATATATAGAAGCAAGAATGAAGCCTTTTTCACTCTTGTCAATGTTTCTCTTATCTTTAATTTTGTTTCAAGATACTTCTATTTTCTTTGTTTTTGAAAATAACCATTCTAATTTAATATTATACCATCTTTGAATAATTTATTTTTAAAATTTTATTTTTTGAATGATACAAGAATATATTAATCCTTTGATTTTTTGAGATTCATTTCTTTATTAGTTTCAAAAGAGTGCTAATTCATTATTCTTGTTTCATTTTAGAAGCAAGAAGATTATATCACTTTTAAAGGTTATGTACTATCCACCCTTAAACTAATAATTTTTTTTTTTTTTTAATATTAATTCTTTTCTTGAAGAAAATGATCTATCCTTCTTTGTGAAATTTTTTATTTGGTAGTTAAGATAGCAAATTACTTTCTTTTAATTTGACTTATGAATTTGTTACAATTATATGTTAAAGAAATCAAAGACAAAATTATAGATGCTACACTCAACTAAAGAGAGAATAGATTTTTAACTATTGTAAATCTTCATGAGCTTGTCAACACTTTTAGAGTGAAAATTTCATGTATAATTAATGTCAATCATTGAGATACTATTCGTGCACCTATTAAAAAAGTTAATAATAAAGTTCAAAGTCTATGCCAAAAAACTGTGCAATTGAAAGAAGCAAGTAAATCAATCTCACAATTGAATCTCAAAAGTCTTGTTACTATAAATATGAAGGATGCAATGATAAGTATGTTGGAGAAGTTTGATAGAAAAAGATGAAGATTTTATGAATTTCTACAATAAATCAAGCCCTGTCTAAGGTTGAATCTTATCCAATATCCTAATGGATTTACTCCAATTAGATTTATAGGTGTACTTCTATATGTAAGTACTTTTTTTTACTTTGCATATTTTATTAATAAAAATTCACAACTCTTCCTTAATTTTAATTCATTCTTTAAAGTGTTGACGGCTATATTTGAAAAAAATGATTGAGAAATAGTAGTAGAAACCAAAGTTTTATCCTCATAATAGAGATCATATTAAAATTAATTAATAAGGACTTTTATGTGACAATTAATTCTTTAAAAGATACTAAGAAAAAAAAATTAGGTTCAAGAAGTATAAGTCAAGTTATGGTAATAACATCTAAGTTCTTAAAAACTAATTTATTAAGTTTGAAACCTACACAAATTGATATATATATATTTCAAATTTTTAACTAGGCAAGAAAAGATTTGACGTTGTCAAGAAAGATTGTGCTTATATTAGAGAGAATCTAAACACACTATTCAACATTATTGAAAGAAGCAACACAATCATAAAATAAGGAGGATGATTGCCAAAGAAGACAATGTGTTGGAAAAACAAGTTTTTTTATTCATATTAGGAACAATCTACAATAATTTTCTACATATACAAGCTCCACCTATAATAGGAACAAACTATTATAGATTAAAAGATTCTAAAAATAATAAAAGATGTCTAGTATTTTTTAAAAATTGCCAATTACTCTAAAATCTTCATTAATTTTTTTTAAAGTTACAATTCTACTTATAGATATGACTTATAAAATCAAACTTGAAAGGAGCAAAGAAGTGCAAGTATTATTTGAAGTTTTAAAGATAATATTTATTTTTATACTAATTTTGTATCACATCAACTTTTTGAAGGCATTCTATATAGAAACATATGCATCAAACTTTACCTTTGATATGATATTGTCATAAATGAGAGCAAATGAAAAATTCTACCTAATAGCTTTTTATTTTATAAAATGTATAGAAACTAAGATCAATTACAAGATTTAAGAGATAGAACTTCTTACAATTGTAGATTCATTCAAAAAATGGTGCTATTATATAGAAGGTGCTTTTAATTCAATTATTATATATTTACATTACAAGAACCTTGGATATTTTAGGGTAGCATATTGTCATATGATGTGATTTTCTATCTAGGAATACATTGTGTACCTAGCTATAGAGAGTTTAGTTTTAACTTATTAAACAAGTTCCAATAATTGATGTATTTTTATTATAGAGGCCAAATAAATATAATAATATCAAAAGATATTCTATCAATAAAACTCTTTTATATTTAAGAAGCTTAATACATAAGGCTTTTTAAAGCATCTAGAAATGCTCTAACATCCTTTGCTATACCAAATCATAATTAAATCATTTGTTGATAAGCTTGATTTTCAATAAGTTTAAGAAAAATCCATAATTCTTTTATAGAAAACCATCTTTATATCATATTTTTTTCATAGCTCTATATCTCCATCTTCAACACATATATAAAGTCTTGGCTTCCAATACTCCCTTTATTTTTCATAAAATGCCCCTTTTCAAAATATTTTTCTTCTACAATGGATTCTTTTTTTCCTAAACTTTAGAAATTTATATCTCTTGATCCAACCATTCATTTTTTCTCAAATTTCTAGATGATGTAAAATTTATACTTAAGCTCTTAAAAAAAAAAAAAAAAAAAAAAAAAAAACAAATCTACTATAAATTATTTAATATCTTAAAAATCCTAGCAGGTATTTAAAATCCTAATTTAAAAATACCTAAGTATTATTTTCTCTATATCTCAAAATACCACAAAATTTATATATAAAGTTTGGTTACATGATAATACACATTTTTAGAAATTTTTGGCAAAAATCTTATTGATTTGCTCAAGATATAGTTCAAAATACAACCACTAGTAAATTGGGATATTTATTGCCCTTAGATTGCAAGCATTAACTTTAACTTCCTATAATTCCTTTATTCCAACTTAGAATTCATTAAGCAATACATAAAAATTATAGTTGAAAAAGTGCTTTTTCCAACTTCAATTGCTGATCCTTCATTGCTTTCTGTATACATATATTATGTTGAAAAGAGTGATAGTAAGTACAAAACCAATACCTTAACTTTGAGTGCCTATATCTTTTTCGTAAAAAATCCAAATCACACAAAATTTGTACCAAAATCATAGTTAAAAACCTAAATACTCTGTTCTTAACCTTTTAAGTTCAAATTGCCTCAAAAAATAACCCTAATTCCTAATAAGGCCTTAGGCACCTTCCTTAAAGTCCATTGGATAAGAATTTTGGCCAATTAGAATAGAGATTTTCATTATCCATCTTCATTCATTCATATGGATATCTTAATTGCTTTTTTTACTCTCTAATTCTTTTTCTTATAAGATTTATATAATATATGTCCTAAACACCAAATAAAAAAAACAAAATAAGATTTCAAGAGCCACCAATGTCTAATAAAGGTAGCTCTAAGTATATTAAACTATTATCAACATAAAATTAACTTTAATAATAGCCCTTTAAACTAATTACTTCAAAAACGTAATCTAATTATATTTTATAACTAACTAAAATCTAATAATGTGGCTCTTATTACATTATATAGTAAATTATATATTAAATATTTATGTGCATTATTTTCACATAGTAGTCAAACCACAATACAACAACGTTGTCATGTGATAAGATGACTAAATGGTAAAAAATAAAAATATGAATGTTATTATAAAAAACTCTAGTAGAAAGATGTAATAGAAAAACAAAGATAAATGATAAGAAAGTAATAATGTTTTTAGTTTTAATGCAACTTTTTATAGAAGAGACTTCTATTTATTTTATAAAAGAATAAATAGTCAAATTAAAGTAAATGAGATAAGTAAATAATATAAGAATCTTTAAAAAATAATTAATAATAGATTTAAGCAAATATTACCTCAATTTATCAAAAATTAATACCTTAATAGGACTAATTGTGAACTTGAGTCAAAACCAAACCTTGAGGCACAAAACCATGCACTTGTAGTGATT